AGACAGTGCGAGATAACTAGATCTGGGGCGAGCCACGCTCGTCATATGTTGCAACCTTGATATCGTAACATACAGGGAGTTTACTACCGCCCCTTATATCCGTATCCTTTTGACGCTTAGTTTTTCATTTTGAGGACTAGCTATAACTTAAATTTCCAGTCAGGTACCAATCTCGTACCTCTTCCAATTTGTAGAATTATGGTGGAATTGAGTGACCCAAATGTTGACGTTCAGCACTTATCGCAACTTTTTCCAAATCTTGCTTTGTCAGATGATTGCAGTTTTAAGCTTAGCATATCAAATAATCCTGGAAGACAAGTTTCTACAATTTTAGAACTTTCTTTAGGCCAATACTAAAGCAACCGAAAAACCTGTACCAAACATCTTTCGTGTTACGAAGAGATTTGCAAGAAACTCTGAGTGCAGATCTAAGTTCAAATTAGCCTTTGATTGAATCTAAGGTTTAGAAAAGATTTAGAAATAAGAGAGTTATATACATTTACAGTGGGCATAATTTTTGGGAATCCTATTTTGCAGCACAATCTATGCGTATCAATGTTAACTTATTCAGAATGAAGCAATGAGTGGAGTTGCCACGCAAGTTTATGCTATGAGCCGTCTAACGCTTGCACTTTTCGAAGACTCAGGATGGTACCAAGTAAACTATAGGCAAGTAAAATTAACCTACACCATATAACTGGAAGTAATTTGCCATTCAAAATACAGCAAAGCGGAGAACATGCAATGGGGACATACGTTAGGATGTAAATTTGCCAAGCAGAGTTGTTTAACATGGATGAGAACAAATCCGCACAATCCGTATCCATTTTGCACAGTGCTTGAGGACACCAGGTAGGTTAAAGACAACGATTTTTATCGCTGTTAAAGATATGTTACAGATGTAGCACAAGTCGTTTGGCGAAAGTTCGCTGCAATCTGATAGCCGGATCGATTGATGTGCCCAACGAATACAACTATAACATACAGAATTTGTATAAAGACAGAAAACAACATTTGTTAAAAGGTTACGGTCACCTTGAAGTAGCTGACTACTGTCCATATTACCGAGTGAGTTAAAAAGATCAAGAGCAACTCGAGCGCGGGTGTTTTTTTTTTGATAAATGTTGAGTGGGAGAGAATTTGTCCAACTGCTAAATGAACAGTGCTGTATCCACACAGACATCCCTGTTAATACGCAATTACTTTCATTTCTTAAACCAAAGATTACATTAGGTTGTCCGGAAAGTTTGCAAAAATTCCAATTCTTCTCGAATATTGATTGGCTACTCCTCCAACTTCGTATAACTTGGTACCAATCTTGCCCCGTTGATGGAGCATATCGCAGAAGTTTCACGAGTGTAGTCCAGCAGCAAGTCCATCTTTGGAAAATTACAGGGTGGTCCACATGATGTGTGACGGGCTATGAAAAGTCCATTTTCTGGCATTTTTGGACATTTTTTTTGCTTTGATGTGGTGTTACTCGTTTTTCTCGTATTTTTTAGTCCTACTTTAGTCAGTCTTAAT